CATCGAGTGGATTGATATTGTAAAAACTCGGTGTCATATTTATTGGCGGCGCCCAGACGAGTGGGCCGCTTTGATCTACGCGTGGGCGGTCTCGAACGGCTTGCTGAACACGCCGTGTACACTTTACGAAATCGCACACGGAGACGATACAGTACAAGAATGTAAGTCGACCAAACTTTTTTTAAAATATTCTGCTTGTACTCTTTCTAAGCAAATCGGAAACATTGACCTCTGATTGTGTTTTACTCTTTGCTTGGTGGTTCTTAATGTGGACTACGTTTTTTTTCTTGAATCCCGCGGTTGCATATGGGCAGTTGCGTCCAACTGCAGAACTGTGCTCATTGTATTGAGTAGAACCTCTTTGTACAAGCTTTCCGAGCTGTTCGTTTTATGCCAGCAAAGCGATACCTTGCCATCTCTGGAACATTGGTCTTATTCGCGTCATCCAGTGCTGATTCCATCAAACAATGACAAAATGAAAGACACGGTGTAAAGACTGAATTCGTGATAGAAAACCCTGTCAGTTTCAGTGGGCGGCTTGCCTTGTATGAGGGCCACAGGCCTGGTGAAGTGGGACAACTGGAGAGTCTGCGGACCTTAATACTTGAACCAAGTAGGACCCCCACGAATTACTTGAGCGCGGGGATTGTTCTCAGAGCAGTTCAACGTTATCGACAAAATTTTTGAACACAGCCAACTAACATGGATGTACATTGACCATTTTGCGACTGTTCAGTGAGCATTCATATTTGCAAAACTCTTTTGGAGAGAGATAAACACCTTTTGGAGATCTCAATGAGCTGTTTTCTAGAAAAGTTGCAGCCGCAGTGCTTGCTCATAATGGAGATGGACAACAGTCACATGTTTTACGCGTTCCAAAGTGTAAAGCACCTTGTCGCTTTATGATGGCTTCGCAGGTGTCAATGGAGGATTCACGATTCAGTTCAGATGCTAGCGGGGACTCATTTGCCTAGATTTAAGTGTTGTCTTTTCTTAGAAAAACACTAGGTGATTAAAGTGCAGGCGTTTTCCGTTTTTCTTTTTTACTATTAAAGGCAGTTGGCACGATAAATCCCCCAAGACGACTAGGATCAATACTCCTGGCAGGATAGAATTCCGCGACCCTGGGCAGGCGCTGCATAGCGGTTTCCCCGAGGAAGGTGCCCTTATAAGGGCCCTATCAAGCCACAACTTTACGTCCCAAACGCCCGCCACGCCCGCCCGCCCACAAATGGACGACCGTTCCTGACGCTCGTATTCATTCATTTGCTAAGCAAATTATGAAGCGAAGGGATTGGTATGAAGCGGCCGTGATGCTGCATGCATACATGGGTACACATATGCAGCCGTATCTTCGGTAGCGGTGATTGGCCAAGGAATCGCCATAACAAGTCCGAACCCTCTCGTCCCGAAATTCGATTCTCATGCCTTCAATACCGTCACCTCTGCACGTTATCCACTGCCCGACGACTCTCCTTTCGCTTTTCTCTACTATGCGATTCCGACCTGTTTCACTCCATTTCCTTTTTTTCTTCTTCGCCCATTTCCCCCACCTATACATCGTGGCCTACCAGCATTTGTATGCCAGTGTAGGATAACCATCGTGTCAACTTGCCCTACTTATCAGATTGTATCAGCAGTGAGGACACGAGAGCGATTGTGACCAATTGCGGCGACACAGGTATCGCCTTTGCTGCGCATAAACATGGGAGCAGGCCTCGATGAGTCGTACTGTGCAGCATCATAAGGCGTGCGTTCTTAGCCGGTCATCCCCATGGTTCATTTTACTGTTTTTTTTTTTTCTTTGACAGTCGTTTAGTGACTGTACGTTCATAACTGGGCGCCACTATCCACAATATACAATCGGGAGTTTGTCATTAAGGAAGAGGAAAGGTTGTCCCTCCGAGTCATCCATACATTCTCATTTCTTTCCTTTTCTTCCATTTATATTTCGACAAGTTGACTTCATCTTCCTTCAGAACGCAGTCAAGTGATGAAGTATTTCAGCATTCTACGGTCTAGAGAAAGACGTGTTGGTGAAAGCACTCCGAAGCTTAGAATTGCAACGGCGCGCACAACTGATGAATATTGGTACAGAGTCAGAGGGTGTCAAGTTCCTGCAATAATACATTATATTGTTCGGTGAGAATTCACTCGTTCAGATAATAGGCAAAACTTTTTGAAGTTTGTCTAGTGTGAACAATCTTTTCTCCATTTGCTAGATTTTGCAATAAGTTTCAGGTTTGTCTCATTGCCAGAATTTATCCTGCGAGTATTTATTTTCATTAGCGGCTCCAGTTGTTATTTGCTCAGACCCACAAAGTCGGACAGTTGGACAGTCTCTACCTGTGCTCCATTGGTAACCAAGTAGTTTTTTTTATGAATTGTTTCTGATATAGCCCTAATATTTGGAATTCTTCCATTTTATTAATGTTTTACGGCACAAGTGGGATTCGGGGATCGGCGCTTCGCCTTCGATATTCTTAAAGTTTCAAGTCAGACAATCGCCAGATGAGCGAGTGCAGAATCGTTGGTATCGGGGTTAGAAGTAGAAGTGCCACTTGACTCGCTGGTGACTTAAGAAAATTAGAAGCAAAGAAAAACAAGTATTGGAAAAGGTGTACAATCCAAAGCACAGATGACGTTTCGCCCATGAAACATTCGAAATTAGGCTCCCCCTGTGCTAAGCGAGAGGCAGAAATCCATGTTTCCCGGGCGAGATGCCATACAAGAGCGGCGTAAGAGTATGCCGTAAGACAACTGATGAGATATCTATCAGTTGTGGGTGGACTGACTGACTTTTTGGCGTAAAAGAATCAAACAATGTAACAGACTGAGTGTCTTAATCGCCAAGCTACATTAAACAAAAAAACCAAAACCTGAATTTTTGTTCCGAGCGGTTCTTATCCTGCGGTCATTCAAATACTATTACCTAAAAAGATTCAACAAGTTTATAGATAACTACGGGTGATACGCGCAGAGGCTCCTTAGTTACTGCAACCAGTAAGTGACCTACATCGTATTCTGACTTCCAGTTCTCCTGCGATCATCTTAAGCTTCTACTTGGCTTTAGTTAGACGACCGTAATTCTTTTTCAGATGCTCCCTCGTTTTTCAAGTATTCGGAGCTTATCGAAGAAGGCGACACTGTCATCATTTATGTAACGTTCGATTCCACTCACGCAATCATTGTACGGCGCGGTCAAACGCTCTGCATGAAATACGGCGCTCTTCGGCATGAAATTTGTGATTGGAAAGCCGTGCAGTGATAACAGATCTTTATCGGAGCTAGATTCGTCCGATATGATTTGAAGCTAAATTAGCTCCTCATTACTTTCGCTTCGTCTCGTGCCTAGATTCGCGGCCAAAAACAATGTTTCTGTCCAATTTGCTGTTTGACGTGTTTCCGCGCTGGCGTTTACGTTCCGCGTTTTTTCTCGCGAGCTCCAGATAGTTTCGAGACAAGCCGTTGTGACGTTTACGTTCGCAGAATCACGGAGCCTATCAAACCAAACCTGTGAAAAGTTTCTGTCGAAGTTTGACCGGAATTCAGAAAGGGATGAAGTTTTCCATAGTAAGTACATAAGCAAGATTTTTTTTGTCCACCATAAAACATAGCTTTTGCCGTGTCTTTCAGGCACGTTTTCTTGAAAATGTCTTTTTTTGGGCTGCCGAAATAGCACGACATTAAGCAAGTTCAGTTTATGGAGGAGATTCACCTTGTTTTATGATCAAAACAGCTAATTTTTGATATTAGCGTTGAATAGTGCTGGGCAAATGCTGAATAGTGAAAAAGCCTGGTGCGGACTCCTAGAAAATTCCGATGTTATTCGTCTCCTCTTTGTCAAAGTGCATGTTTTGCTCCGGGCGGTGATTGAAGTCCGTCAATCCTTCACGCTGACCTTGAGTGCGAGTCGTGCTACTACTGCCTTACTCATAGCTATTCAGATGGGAGCAATATTTCTCCGGAATTCTCAGTTGCAAAAAGTTGCAAAGTATCGAAAGTGCAGAACTGCAAGAAAAGCTACTGCTGCTCTTTGCGGGAATCAGTGGATTAGTGACACCAATGACGCGGCAAAGCAAATGGATGAATTCGCTCTGTTAGAAGAAAGGCGTTGTTTAGGTCATATCACTCACCTATTACCCATTTTAGATTTTCATGCATACATTATTCGGCATTTCAAACTATTTCTCTATGCGAGTACTTGGGTGAAGACGTGCGCAAAAACATCTAAAATGCAAAAATTATAGAAAAACTTTACTGGTCATACTCACGTTTCTATACATTGCGTGACAAAACGTAAAAACATACAAAAAATTATAAAAACACTTCAGTACTCTCAGTTCAATCCTACAGCTGTGGATCGCTTTTTGTGGCCATTGCTGTACATATAAGGCCTTGGAGGAATTAGGTGACAAAGCTTATTCAATTTTTCGTCGCGGGACTCTCATGAGAGTAGTTTACCTCACCTCCATAGCTATCAGGGCACTTCGAAGGCGGGAGAATCGCAAGGGCGCTCAGACGTAGCACGAGGGAGTGGTGGTATCAGACCGAAGAGCACTTTTATATTTGGTTTTCCTGCTTCACAAACGCTGTCTACAACGTTGGAGATTCCCAATGGGCGAAGGTCGTATATGATCGTGAGCGAGAGGGGGTCGTATCTGATGAAGTCCATGCACGAAGATTTTTCCTTGCTCGTCGACTTTTCCCGGTTTTCCCCCCGTTTCATCATATGTGGTCCCCTTGCCACACTAGCACTATTCTGGAAAAGAAAGAAACTAAAATTTTTCCTGAAAGACCGGGAAAATTGCTACGAAACTCGGACATCCTGCGAAGATAGTAGGTAGATGGGAAGAGGGTTGTTCTGAAGGAGCAAGTTTGGTGGGAAGGGGTGTACTTTGCAAAAATTTCCCTCAGCGACAGTGCGTGCCCTGATAGTTACACCTAACTGGGTTGCTTTGGTATTGCGTTGGCAACCTTGAAGGGTTGAGCGCTTTTCTTGTCTCTATTTGTATGTTGGTGTCAGAAGAGACAGCATAGTTCCAACGAAAAGTTGGGACGTACACGTATTCGATCGACTGCACCGCTTTTCTCGCCGCCATTGGAGAGCATCCGGAAGTTATCGCGCGCATTGCAGCGAAAAGAGTTCGGATGCACGTGCATTGCCTGAGAGGGAAATGTCTACTATCTCAACAGCTGAAGAAACTGCTGCTTTTTGAACACGGCTTTAGTTTGCGAGGAGTTTTGGGAAAAGCTGGCTCCTGGAAGTGAGAACTGGGCTTAGAGAGCACCTTCAACATCCTTCGAGTACGGCTCGGCTCAAGAGCCGCGAGCGCAGCCAGAGTTACCCTTCTATCTCAAAGGGTTCATGTTCGGTGCTGTTAGGAAGTGCCGGAATTTTTTTTACATGAGCTGATCCCAAAAGCTCCTTAAAGACAGCTCCCGCGATAAAAGTGTCATGGATAGTTGCTTTTCAATTATGAAACAGTAGCTGATAAGTAATTCCCCAAAGAAGAAAAAAGCAAGAAGAGTCCTCAAGAACACTATAAACAAAATCGCTCCCTGGCAGTCACACCTTCCTGCGGTCTCTGTGCAACCCCTGGCTCACAAATTTCTTTATCACATCTCCCAGTAGTGGGTATCATCCAATGCAATCAAAGAATACGAAAAATAACAAAAATGCGGAAGAAAATTCTTGAAATGGAAAAGAAACTTTCGAAAACTAGGCGTCTGAATTTACGGTTACGGTAGCGTGCATCTTTTAATGTAGTGCGTCGAGCTTTTGCCGACGAAAATTGGGTCGCTCCTGATTGGTCGCTCCTGATTTTTAAGCGTTTTACCTTGCAAGATGGGTTGTATTAGCCGTTGTCCAGAAAGTCTCAGCGTTTTGTGCACTATTTTTCCTGTACATTCACTGCTGGTCTTGATTAAAAAACTCATTCTGCCTTGCTTCTCAGTAGCACATCCTGTAGAGAATTTCTTGCGCTATCTGATGGTATAATTGCCGTTTCACCATTGCTTGATAAACCCCTTTTTTCAAGCATGTGAAAAGAGCACTTCGGACGATTTTTTTCTTCGACTATAAATTGGGGCAATCCGCAATCGAAACAGCTCAACAAATTAACCAGGTGTGGGGGCCCAATAGTGCTAGAGAACAGCCACTTGTGCCGGCAATGCGCTCAACAAAATTTTTCCGTTCTGGATCGATTTCGCCATTGAAGATGACCTTCGCTTAGCGATCGAATCTAAGCAGGCAATATCTGACGAGGATTTCAGGGGGATTTTGGAGGCTGACCCATCCCAAACAGTTCGAGAGATAGCAGAAGAGCTAGGCCTTGGCAAATCCACTGTTGCAGATGGTCTGGAACGCATTGGGAAGGTGAAAAAACTCGACAATTGGGTGCCCCACAATCGGAGTGACCGGCAGGAATCGGCACGTCTCGAGGTTCCTTCTGCATTGCTTTTGCGCAGCAGAAACGACCTGTTTTTGGGCCGAATTGTCACCTTGCTGATAAAAAAAAGAGGTCCATGACATGTAACAGGAGACGTTCCGGGACAGTGGTTGGATTTCGACGAACCACCGAGGTAATTTTCAAAGCCGAACCCTCACGAAAAAAAGATTATGGTCACAGTTTGTGGTGGTGCATCAGCTGGCTATTGGTGTGATCCACTTGAAACTTTTTGCCACCAATGCCAAGCCATCACAGCAGAGTCCCACTGCTGAAAAAGAAATCACGAGGACCCGAAACACTTTTTGTCAGATGCAGCCAAAACTTTTCAAAAGAAAGGGCCGATTCCTTTGCATGACAACGCCCGCCCACACATTTCACAAATCACTATCCATAAATTGAACGAATTTGACTGCGGGGTTGAAGTTCTACCTCAACCGCTATATTCTTCAGAACCTTCGCCAACCGACTATCACCTTTTCTAACATTTTCAGAACTCCCTTGCTGGAAAATACTTCATCAATCAGGACCAGGCAAAAAAGCCTTAGTGGATTTCGTGAATTTTCGACCACCCAGTTTTTTACTTTGATGGGATTTCTCGACTGCTGTCACATTGGCAAAAGTGTGCTGATTCGAATGGTGCCCTATCGATTAAATCCGATGAGTATTAAAAAAGTTACGATCGTTTAAAGTGAAACACCCAAAACGCTGAGAACTTTCCGGACAACCTAATAGTTGGCTGTATGTGCTCCTAATGAATAAAATGTAATAAAGGGGAGCAGAATTATTTATGGGCACGAGCGCCGGTGGGAAAAAGCGGCATGCAATTGCGATTAATGCCCACGCGCCACAAAGAACAACTGACGCTTGCCCTCCGTCGCAGGGCATCTAGCAAGTGGGCGGTCCAACTGAGCGGGCGTTAGAACTAGAACTTTCAGCAGCTGTAGCTCGCTCCTTGCTCGCTGTGGAGTCGCGTGATGGACGGTTCACTTAGCTTGCGGCGTACTACTTGCACAAAGAAGAATGCTATGTTACTGCCGAGCGCGGGGCCCTGTCTTTGAGTCATTTAGTGGCCACCATTTACGTTGATCAGTGAAGAAGTTTCGCCCGTTGCGTTTGATAAAAACAGAGTCAGAAATGCCAAAAAAATGGCTCCTTTTGTTGAGTGCAAACGTCGTCCAGGCGCTCGCTTAGAGTTTCTGCCTACGGCGTTTGAGCGGACGACAATAGGCACCTGGCGAATCAGGAATGTTCTATCTTACCTTTCCACTGTACACTACCAGCATCGGTCAACCCCCTTTCACTGTCTCGTTAGAAGGTGTACTACCCCCTCCCCTCAACGGTTGCTGTTATAATGTAGATTGATATTCCATACAAGGTTGTTATTATGGAGCCATTTTACTTTCCGGCGTTTTGTGGCATCAATATTGTATGCATCAATATGCCTACCAAGATGTTGCCCATATCAGACAAGCCCTCTATTGTCTGGATACAGTAAATTAGTATCCACTTCGTTTCGATTCGATTTGATTGAAATGATCCACTTGTACATTCGCTGGCTCGCTAAATGGAATGTGTATGCCATATCGCACTCAAACCCACCACGATTCTGAATAGGAGTAGGATGCAGACCGCATCTCAAAAAGCCATTGATTAACGGAAAAACCTTCATATGTGAGGTTTTTCCGTTCCGTTCCGTTCCGGTTAGCGCGCACACGCTCATAAGATAATATGGTACCCGGTCTAAAATGCTAGTGGGGTGCTATATAGTGGAAAATGGCGAAAAAACGAAGTGAAACGGTCAAAAACCTGCAAAGAAAGCCTTCGTTCTTCATGACTCAAAAAGCAATTTTGGACGAGTTTCCCGTAGGCATCGTGCCAATAACCGCTACGGTAGATACGGCTGCACGTATGTACTCATATATCCATGCAGCACCGCGGCCGCTTCATATCAATCCCTTCGCTTCATATTTTACTTCGCAAATGAAGCAATACGAGCATCAGGCACGGTCGTCCATTTGTGAGCGTACGGGTCGGTATGTTGCAGCTTGATAGGGCCTTATAATGAGCACCTGCTTAGGGGCACGGAAATTCGTCCTGCCAAACGCATCAATCCTACTTGTCTTAGAGAATTATCGTGCCAATGCCTTTAACGGTGGGACCAAGGCGAGAAGCTTCAACAAGTAATACAGTTCAAATCGCTTTTCCGCATCACTATGGTAAATACGATGCGAAACTCGCAATGCGAAAGCGAATAACTTTTCGCTGCAGTTTACGATGCATATTGTCATAAGGATGCTGGGCACTATTTACCCTTTACTGCCCCAGTCATCCGAAATCAGGCCAGTTCCTGACCGACTTTTTTCTCCGTGGACAGATTTGGCTCAAATGTTGTCTCCTGGGGTAGTTTGACCCCTGAATACGAATATCACATTCGCTCAGCCCGAAACTTCCTGGCGCCCGCGCCACAGGCGCCGGTGATTTGGGGTATTTTGGCGCCAGCGCCTGTAGCGCGGGCGCCAGGAGGTTTCGGGCTGAGCGGATGTGATATTCGTGTTCAGGAGGTCAAACTACCCCTGGGAGCAAGTTTTCAGCGAATTTGGTGATTTCGAGTATTTTGGCGCCGGCGCCAGGTTTCGGGTCAAGCGGATGCGATATTCGTGTTCAGCGGGTCGAACTACCCCTGGAGCCAAGTTTTCAGCAAATTCTGCCCACGGAGAAAAAAGTCGGTCAGGAACTGGCCTGATTTCGGATGACTGGGGCAGTAAAGGGTAAATAGTGCCGGATGCTGATTTCTGTATGTCAAATATGGGTACTGTTCCAGATTTCCTTGATTTGTGTACGTTGTGTCTACCCTATCTTACGAAATGCACTCATTGAACAAACATAAGCATAAACATGAAACCGCCCCGCCAGTTGCGACATTATATACTGTAAGCGAGTGGAAGTGGAGATTGCTGTCACTGATGTGTTTTTAGATGGGGATCGCGTATTTCGGCTACGGCTGGCTACGTATACGCATTGCGTCCAACACCTGAATTATGGACTCGTTCGTTACCACGTCGCACACAGATTCTGTATACGCCCGACTGCAGCCTCATTTTGCAACTTCTAGATGCTCGGCCAGGATCGGTGAGGTTTACACAACTTCAAATGAATTTGTTCGTCTCATTATAATTAGATTCATTGCAATTCTTTTGGAATATACCGCTGCTGCTTATAAGCAGGTATGCTTGCAGCAGAAAACTTGTTTGCTGCTTCTGTTTGAGTTGTTTGAGCTCAGGTTGAAAGTAAGCTCAATATCCAGTCGAAGGTGGTATGTTGCTAGAATTTAAGATGGGGATGGGTGTCAGGCGTGAAAAATGGACACCGTATGCACCGTGGGCAGTAGTGTGGTACCCGACTACTCTAAGATCGGGACAAAAGTTCATCGACAAAAATGTGCGCTATATGTAACGAAAGCGGAATTTCACAGCTCATTTCGTTCAAAAGTTATCAACGAAGCTGCTTCCGAATTCAGTTGGAAAAACCTTATATTTCCTCGTTCCCAAGTGTTGTACGCCATCTAGTGCTGGGGGAATGGGATGTGATGAAACGAATGTGAGGGAGGGGTTGCGCAGAGGCAGCGGTCCTATCGATATCCTAGCATGGAATGGAATCAGCAGCTCCGGAATACTTCTCCAGTTAAGGAGGCTTTGTTTTGCGTTTTCGCCCGTTTCTTTCGATTTTTACATTACTGTCAAGACACTGACCACCAGCACTTCCATTTTTGAAATCCGCTACCAGCGAGTGGCGATGGCGTGGTTTGTCTTTGATCAAAAGAATCTTGCATCAATCCTCACCCCTTCCCCCTGCCCCTCCCGTCTCCCCCGTCCCTGTAGCTACCTGGCAGGTTCCGGGAGTCATTGCTCTTCCCTTGTAAACATTCGAATTCATTCCGAAAAAGGTTATCTATACCTCCGCACAAATTTGGCTTTACGAACCACGTTGACGAGAGGATATACTATCGGCACTGCGATCGCTCATTCATGTCATTCAAGCGAATTAGATATTTATAGTGGAGCTCTGAGCGGTCATCGTAAATCTTGGTTCTGAATGCAATGTCCTAATCTGGTAGTCTTTCTGCTGAACGTAGTTATAGTAGTTTTGCAATAAACGAGGCTTCTGGTTTTTACTTACATTAGAGTTCACCTTTTTCAGGTGATATGTGAGTCTGGCACAGGAAGCGGAAGTCTGAGTCATGCTATTGCGATGGCTGTCGCCCCAACAGGTCACTTGTACACACATGACATCGAAGAAAGCCGCACGAAAAGCGTGGAGCAAGAGTTTAAGGTGAGTAGGGACTCATGCAAGACTGCTTCCAAGGAACACGACCTCAACATAGGCAACCGTGATGAGATATAGAAAATGCAGCTTTTCGTTGTATCGAGAAAACGTGTAAGTTATTAGCGCTAGAAAACGCAATAATTTTTTGCTCTTCTGAATCAAGTTGCGTATCTTCTTCAACAACATCTAATGTAACCAAAAGTACTTGTGTAGATGCTCGTAATCCGTGAGGGGGAGGGTCAAAGGGGTTGGTAACGCTATCCAAGTGGGTACTTCGAACTGGTTTACTAATTCCGGAGTTTCCCTCCTTCAGGCTTAGGTAGACGTCCTTATCAATTACGACAGTCTCGGTTCCTCTGCCTTTCATGTTTCTCACTTGTTCAGTTCTCAACCATCTCGGTAATTCTTTTTCAAAAACTTTTCTTTGTAGAAAGGCTCTTTCAAATGTCATCTACCCGCAAAGGTAATGAACGCCTTAGACTGTATGTAGCCTTTCTCTAATTTTCAAGGTGCGAGGAATAATTGGAAGGTGGCTTATGGAGAACATTAGTGTCCAATTCAGGAGCAGCTACCATAGCTGAGCTACGGCTGGAAAAGTTGATTGGATTCACGGTCTCTCTCGAACCTTGCGTTACTGATTTCTAGCCCCCTTTAGGTTAGCTTCTGTAAGACATACTCCCCAAGATCCGGCGATTATTCCTCGTTGGCGTAACATGGCTTCTAACATTCCCAAAAAATTTTTCTCAATTACCTCTTCATGTAATCATGTGGTTTCGTGCCGGCTGCTTTACACTTGTGACATCGTGAAAAAATGGCCGCGAGTAGTTTCGCAGTTCAAAGGAAAACTTTAAACTGATTGCCTGTTCAGCCATCTGGTACGTTCATTTTTCGGTTGCAGGTTTTTTGCCTAATTTGTCCGGCCAAGAATCATCAGAGTTCACGAATTTCGAATAAGGTGACTGGTGTAAGGCGATTTACTTTCTGAGAAGGCTAAAAAATCTAAAGTTTTTACATAAGACTGTTTTCAATTTTTGTTCGAGATTTGTGCCCCATGAAATTAAAAAATTGAAAAAGACATGGAATTGCAAATGAAAACTGAATCTGTTAAGGAGCATGGGTTGGCTGATGTCACGACGGCTGTCGTTCTGAACGTGTGCACGGATGGCTTCTTTGTGACAAATGCATGTGATGGTGTCTTCTTAGAGCGTCCAGCCTCATGAGGAAAGCGAAATTCCCCGTCCATGCGGCCGGCCGACGCATCTCGGCGCACAGAAGAGGACGGCTTAAGTGTCATTGCAGTCCATGCATTGAACAGGTAGACAGTTATTAGAATTTGCATAATAAACATTTTTCTTCATACAAGGCGTCAAAAGTTGAGTCACAGGAAAAGTTAGAGAGTTAAAAATCAACTAAAGCTACGTAGTTTGAAATATTCTGACAGAAGTGGATTAAACTGGCCGCCTCTTTTCACGTTTATGGCGTTTGCGGTCAATAAGTAATTACGATCAGCAAAGTAATCTTTCGATGGCCTGATGTGTTTTTATATGCTCGCTACGAAAATGGCAAATTTGTTATAAAAAATACGTGAGAGTTCAAATAGCAGACAAAAATAATTTGGTAAAGTAGAAAAAGGTAGGCATCTAACCGCTGTAGTGTGACTGTTCAAGTAAGGAAAGACATCATTTGTTCGATGGCTCTGCCGGTGAGGGAGGAGGAGGAGAGAGAGCAGAGAGAGAGAGAGAGAGGAGAGAGAGAGAGAATCGCATTAAGCAAGGATTCCCCCCTCCCTCCCGAAGTGATAGTGCGCCCTGATTCGATGAGGTTGTGTCGGAGGCTCCCACATGTTTTCACGCTGTTATCCTTTTCTGCATGGTCTTGTTACGAAACCCTGTGATGCAGACGGATAGAGCACAGCGGCTGCCAAAGCATCGAAACGTGCAAAAAACGTATGGCGAGCCAGGAAACGGGATTTTTCAAGGGGAGGGGACTCCGGGGTGGGTGAGCTACTTATAGTCGGTGAAAAGCTGGAAGTCACAACGGCCATAGAGTGCCATGCGGACGAGAGAGTGCAGAGAAAAAGAGAAGATCGACGCGTTCAAAGGGATTGAGTTCAAGTTGTCCGCAGACCAGAATTGAGAGCATCACATGCGACCAGTTCAACAGATATTTGTTATTCTGTATATGCTGCGTTATTTTTCCTTGACACTGGTAACGTTGTCCTGCCAAGAGCGATTGAAATGTGAGCGCTAAAAGTGGAGTAGAAATTCTGGCAATGTGTAATTCAAGCTAAATTTCTTAACTTATTCATTTGAGTGGGCGCCAGACTGAACAGTTCGTGCCATATTTCAGCACGAATTGGTATCAGTTGGCGGGAAAGTCCTGTCTTGCTTTTTTGAACTCAAAATACTTGCCCATTACCTGAAGAGGGGTAATCGGTAATGTGAGCACTTATACATCAAAGAGTGGTCTTTCTATTAGTACCACTCGCTTGACTCCTGCTTCTTCTTCTTCTGCAATATGGACAAGAATGTTATCCGCTACCATCGGCACCGACCCCTCCAAGCGCTTCCTCAAACTCTTTCTTCTACCACCCTGACGCCAGCATGACAGCTGCCGATGCCAAATAATGGAGCTACATAAGGACGATGCTCTCATTTATCGGACAACCTTCCACGACGCTAATGCTTCAAAGCGGGAGCCTACAGTTTTGATGACGAAGTGAGGTTTGGGTTACATGTGAACTCAGATTGAGGGAGCTGCGGGCTCGTGAAACTGCTAGATGGAGAAGCTGCCTCTTCGGTCAATCCCTAGACAAAACGGATACGAGATCTGAAGCGAATCGTCGTTCAGAAGGGAAAATTTGTCCGCAGAATCTTCAGATGACTGTGAAGCCCACCTCGTCGAAAGAAGTCGAGCCAAAGCTCATGCAATAGAGTTAGATGGCTCTCTCGTTGCACCGGTGTAGTCCAGGCATTGTTTCTAACAGCTGGTTGTATTCCCTTTTTACCCGCTACATGGATGAGGGAAGCTCCTCGACCTGAGCCCAAGTCAAAAGTGAGATGATGTCCAACTTTGTGTCGCATTGTGAAGTGATGGCATGCAAGAGCTGCGCAAAGACTGGCAAGAACCTCGCAATAACAATGAATAATGAATGCATAACAGTGGTGTATAATATTGATCTTGTCTCCCTCTCTATAAAAAGAAAGCCTTTTTTTGAAAAAATTTGACAGAACTTTCCAACCAACCTAATATTTTGTGGCAATTATACCATTGTTATCCAATAGAATGAGCAGTTGAAGGTAGTCTCCGTGCTCAGACAATTCTGCCGTCCTGCCTTTACAAGTAGCCTGGCCCTCATTCTCTGAAACATTCCTAGATTTGTGGCTTCACAGTAAGCAACGAATACGCTGTGTCCCTCATAAATGACA